CTCCCCCAAGAGTTCAGGGCATCTCACATTGTTGGATGGGAGTCCAAAGTCCATGTGTATACTCAGGATGAGTACTGATCTACTGCCCAAGGCTCAATAGATTGCCTAGGCCTCCTCCCTGACACCCACATTCAGGGGGTCTTGATCAGTCCCATGCTGGATTCCCAGGCTGATGCCTGGGATTCAAGAGTTAACCTTTGTCAGGTCAGCTGTTTCTGGGGGTTAAGCCAGCCCAGTCTTAATCCCTTTGATCATCAGTCCTCCCTCTCTGTTACTGGATTTCTTGAGTTCAGCTCAGTACTTATCCGTGGGAGTCTGCCTCTTCTTCCATCAGCCACTGAATGAAGTTTCTGTTTCCCAGACTCTCTGGCCATGGGATTGTAGGCTGGCACTCCCCAGATCTATGTCTAAAATCCATATATGAGAGAGATATGAGAGAGTACATGCCATGTTTCTCTTTTTGTGACTGCGTTACCTCCCTCAGGATGGTTTCTTCTAGTGTCATCCATTTTCCTGCAAATCTCAGGATTCCATTGTTTTTTTCTGCTGAATAGTACTCCATTGTGTAAATGTACCACATTTTCTCTATCCACTCTTCAGGTGAGGGGCATCTAGGTTGCTTCCAAGTTCTGGCTATTACAAATAATGCTGCTATGAAAATAGTGGAACATAAAATCTCTCTTTTTATGTTGGTGTTTGGTCTAGGTGATTTATGACAACAGTGTAAAAGTAGCTAATACAGTCCTTCATTATGAAGAATGCTGCCTCTCATGCAGCAAGACCTGGGGCCAGCTCCCAGGAGCTCACAGAAAATTGGGCATGGTAGTGCATGGTTGAAATCCCCTCCGAAGTGAGAGGCAGGGAGGGTGATGTTAAAGGCTATCCTAAGTTTGAGACCAGCCTACCAATGCTGTTTAAGGCCCTGTCTTGGGGGAAAAAGCCACGATAACTACATTTAATGATATTTCGTGTAAGAAGAATGGTATTAAGGTAGTGAATTGTCGGGGAATATTAGTTTCAGGTGCATGATTTTTGTTTATACTGTATTTGTTTAACTCTGTGAAGCTGTGTTACTGTGCCTGTCTAAAACACCTGGTGGTCCTAATAAAGACCTGAATGGCCAATAGTGAGGCAGGAGCAAGGATAGGTGGGGCTGGCAGGCAGAGAGGAGAAATTGAGAGATGAGGAAGAGGCAGAGCAAGAGAGAACAAGAAGAGGAGAATGTCAGGGGCCAGCCACTCAGCCACCCAGCTACCCAGTCAGCCATGGAGTAAGAAGGGAAGTATGATATACAGAAGTAAAAAAAGATAAAAGCCCAGAGGGAAAAGGTAGACAGGTTAATTCAAGTTAAGAAAAGCTGGCTATCAACAAGCCAAGCTAAGGTCAGACACTCATAACAAAGAATAAGCCTCAATGTGTGATTTACTTGGGAGCTGGGTGGTGGGCCCCTCAAAAAGGAAAAAGAGTAAAAACCATCAAACAATAGTGAATCAAAACTGAGACTGTAGAAATTGAGGAAGGATTACACAAATGATAGATGATGTCATATAAACTTCATGAATTCACTCAAATTTTGTTACCTTACAGAGAATGATTACAAATCATAACACCAAAGCAAATGCATGAATGAGTTAGATTCTCATACCTAAATATCTCTTTAAATGTAATTAAAGGTGTATTTATTTTTTTACACTGGCAAGGCATGTTAGGAGAGAGAACGAACTTTTAAATAACAATTTCTCAGATGAGTATGATTAATGAGAAAAACAGACTTTAAAAGTGAATAATGTTGGATCCATCTGTCTATTCTCTCCCTGGCCTGCCTTATTCTATGAATGATTAAAGGTATTTTCCAGTAACCTAATAATGTAGAAATATTACCATTATTTGTGCTGACTTATGTTTGCTTGTGGCACTTATTGAGAGACTACACTTAATGTGAACTTGTCAAATCTGTCATTCTATCCAAGTCAGTGTTGGATAGAATGGACAGAGTGTAAAATCAGTTTGCTCACATATAGCCAGTAAAAGGTGGACCTGGAATCTGGCCCAAGGTACAGTATACGCAAATGATCCACAAGCCATTCTCGTGACAGTATTCCTTTTTTTCCTGGCTTCTGGACTTGAATATGTATTTCCTAAGTCTACAAATGTTATTTTATTCAGCATTATTTCCAGAGACTGTTAGTTCCATTTATTTTTCCCATGTTAAATCACCATATTTCTTTCTTCTTATCATTATCCTTTTCCAATTGAAATTAATTTTGAATCAGTTTAAGGTGATGCAATCAAAGTGTTTTGAAACTAAAAGGATTTTTATAATATAGTAGTGCTCCACATATGCTCTTGGGAAATAAAATTATTTTAATGAGTAAATTTTGTCAGACAGGCATTCTTTTTTTCTCAGTATATGTTTTTAGTTAAATTAGAAACATGCTTGCCTCACATGTCAATCCCAGCTCCCTCTCCCACACCTCCTCTCTTACCCCTCTACCAGTCCCTCCACAACTCCCCATCCAATCCCCACACCATTCCCTAGGGAGGGTGAGGCCCTCCATATGGAATGGGCTCCCAAAGTAAACTCTGATCTACTACCCAAGGCCCCAGATCTGGATCAGTCCCATGCTGGCCTCTCAGCCTTCAGTCTGGGGTCCAAGAGCTCCCCTTGTCAGGTCTGCTGTCTCTGTGGGTTTCACCAGTACGGTCTTGACCCCTTGGCTCATCACTCCTCCCTTTCTATGACTGGGTTCCCCGAGTTCAGTTCAGTGTTCAGCTATGGGTATCTGCCTCTCCTTCCATCAGTTACTAGATGAAAGTTCTAGGATGATATATAAAGTAGTCGTCAATCTCATTATCAGGGAGGGCGCAATTAAGGTATTCTCTCCACTATTGCTTAGTTTGCCAGTTGGTAGACATGCATTCTAAATGGTTTATGTTTGCTAAATGCTTGGCTCTGGATAACAGTATGAAGGAAGTGCTATTGGTACCTCTGCTTTGCATATAAATTCATACAGAGGGAGTGTCATTTTTTCCAAGAAAGTTCCAAATAAGGCACTAATCCATGCTTTTGTCCATAGTATTTTGTTCGCTGGAATAAAAACTATTCAATGATGGACCCATCTACCTATTTCCTGTATACATTTGCCAAGAACACAATTATTTGGAATCACATTTGTTTGTGTCTTTTGTTGAGTGCTTACAGGCACATGAGCATGAACCATTTCCCAAAATTTCACCTTTGTATGGAAATTCACTATTGTTCAGGTTGGAATGAGACAGATTAGAAGAACAATCTACAACTAATAAAAGTTGGAACCGATATCTAACCCAGTTATATACAACTGTAACACTATCCTTCTGAAAGCAATAGAGATCAATAAGGACGCAAGAAGAAAGAAGACTTAGAAAGTTGAAAGATGGCCATGATGAACCACAGCAATGCTCCATGTTTGTAATATAAGCTCATAGAACTATACTTTCCCTGATTGACTTATGTTTCTTCTGGGATATCACAAGATATGTGGATGGATTATATAGCTTCTTATCTGTGCTATGGTGTGTCTGTACATTTTTTATTATTGCTAATTCCTAGTGAGTTTTTGTAGGAACTTCCAATGATGATAAGGGCACAGATACTTCAGAAGGGAGCCAAACATTGACTGATAGTTTCTGTAGACATGATCAATATAGTGTTTGTGAAACACATAAATGAGCCTTGGTGGGACTCAGTTACTGCTAAAAGATAGTAGTAGCGAATTTCCAGGTTACTCGTCACAGAGCATCCTTTCACAGATGCTTTTTTCTTCCTCCTCTCAGCGTACAGTCCAGAACTTACTACTTTGTCCTAAACTGTGCATGTGTTTTAGTATCTTTGATGTCTAAAACCCTGACTTTTTGTATGATGTATTTAAGTTTATTACTCTAGGCATTAATCAAGGATTCTTACTCTCCTAGTATGGAAAATGGTAAAAGATAGTAAAACAAATGGGTGCCATCCTAAAAAGGTGCTAAAAGTACTCAATTTCCCACGAACTTTCATCCCCTGGGCTTATACCACTGCTTCCTCAATCTTTAGGCAAAACCTCTAAAATACTGTAGGGCCAAATCCTATTTTCTTTTCTTTTCTTTCTTTCTTTCTTTCTTTCTTTCTTTCTTTCTTTCTTTCTTTCTTTTTATTGGTTTTACGAGACAGGGTTTCTCTGTATTGGTTTGGAGGCTGTCAGTCCAGCCTGGCCTCGAACTCACAGAGATCCGCCTGCCTCTGCCTCCCGAGTGCTGGGATTAAAGGCGTGCACCACCACCACCCGGCCCAAATCCTATTTTCACATTCCATAAAATCATTTACTATTAATAAGAAATTGTAAGGCACTACATTCACTGTGAATCCCCCTGTGATATGATAGATTAATACTGTTTGTAACTTTAAAACATAGAAAAATTCTTAAAACCTCTGTGTTCTCAAATACATTAGTATAGAAATGAAATCACTGTGTTTTCATGTAAAATAAACATTTTCTAGTAATTGTTTTCTTGCTGTCTTTCTTCCATGTCACATACATGTTCTCTGTCTTGCTTTCATCTTACTTCCGTGTTCTCTGTATAGTTTAGTGAGGATATAGTGAGCATGTTTTCTTGCCTGTTAATTAAAAGCTCTTACTAGCTTGAGGGAAAATACTAGAAAAGTAACTAGCATAACAGTAGCATAACTCTCAAAATGATGATGCCAAATGGCAACAGTATATATGTTCAGAATTTCACGATATTATAAACATTTCTGTCATTTACTAAAGGAGGATCTTATATTTGATCACATAACTAAGAGTATACAAATATTGGTCACTTTTTTCTTTTACATTATCAAGTCTAAGAAGGCATTGGCAAATTCACAGAGACCCAATGGAATGTGCATAATTATTAATACCAGCATCATGGAAGCACACGGCTATGTTAGAGGAGTAACCAAGAACTGCTTTTTCTTTCTTCTTCTCCTTTTTCATTAGAACCCTCTGTACGATTAGCAATATTCCGAAAACACAAAAGTGGCATTTCTGTTACGAAGCCATCAAAGAGGACACAGCTCAGGAGAGATGGTTACTCTGAAGGTAAGAGTTAATGAGACACAGAAAGATTTAAAAGGTCTTTAAGGATAGAAAAACTTGCTACAATGTTTTTAGCCCTTATAGGACCTAAAGTATGCATTTGAACACATTATATATGTATGTATGTATATGTGTGTGTAAAATTGCCTTGAAGAAGTAAATATTTTTATGAAAATAAACCCTATTTACATTGCTGATATCTTAAAATTTTTTCATTTGTGTCAGTGCTTGTCTAGATTTTAAATGGCTTCCATTTTGTATAAATAACCATGTAATATTGCTTCATCAGTTTTAGTATTGATATAAAATGTTTGCAGGTGCAATTATATTAGCCTGAATTAGTGAGATTGATCACATGATATTTCAATATAGTTATGGTTAGTATGTTCAAGTTTTGTTAAACAGTATAAATTATACTGTTATTTAAAATATTTTCAATAACAAATGCTTTCTCAGTTTTAGAATAGAAAGTTTTCATACCTAGTTGACAAGTTACACTTCTGATTTCATCATACCAAAGAATTATAGACTTATATTATTGAACAGAAGCACAATGTAACTTATCAGTTTTATAACTGTTTGTAGTACTAACATTTTTATAATTCATTCTACATGTACTTCACAATAAGCACTTATAACAGGAAAACAGGCATATATTTTTAATGGAAAATAAGTGTTATCTTCTGTATCTTTTGGGTAAGAGATCTTAAAATGCCTGCATCATTAATAGCCTGATTGACAATTGGGTTCTTTGTGAATTGCATTTCAATATGATTTGGAAGTCACTAAATTATTGTGATATAAAGAGACATATTAAAGTGTGTATGGTGAGAAGATATGACATCTTCAGTTTTCTTGAAAGTCTATAACAACAAATACATATTTTAAAAGATATGTAAAGCATTGTGGAGTTTATTGAGTATTATGCATGAATAGATTACCTCATCTATATATGTATATGGTATAAGTATTGTATAGTTTTAATATTTTCAATTTTTCACGGTAAAGACAATTTCAAGATGTAGTGTCCATTAAGGGCATCGACTCAGTATTGGGGTTGGAGAGATGGCTCATTGGTTAAGAGTAGTGACTACTCCTTTTATGCAATAGTCTTTATTTTTTATAATTTTTCCAATTTAAATTAAAAACAATCTTATTTTACAAACCAATCCCAGTTCCCCCCCACTCCCATCTGAATTCTAGTCCCATCATCTTCTTGGGGACTTAGAATTACTGGTGACTCCAGTCCTAGGCTATTCAACCCTCCTGTAGTCTCCTCAGGCATCAGGCACACATGAGGTACATAGACCACATGTAAGCAAAAATATCCGTTCATATAAATTTAAAAATAAAAACCTCAATATTTTAGGAAATATTTTAATAGAATTAAATTGCTTTTCTAAAAATAAAGTAAGCCTGAACTTTCAAACAGCATTCTTTTTCTTGTTATTATGCTAACTAGTAGTTTACTATTTTTATAAGTAATAATAGCAATTGTGATAAAATTAGTATCAACTCCATAGATAACATTTGCTAAATAAAGACATCCTTAATATAGAAGAATGTCTCTTTTTTCTTACCTACGAAAAGGAAACATTTATTTTGGATGACTTGGATGTTCATAAAGAAGAGCTCTATCCTTAAATGTTCTAGTATATTCTCACTTCCTTCTACTTAGATTGTATGTGAACAGCATATTTTTCTGTGAACCAATATAAAATAGGCTAAGAAAAGTTCACAACAGAGACAGAAAATATTCTATAGAACACAGTATTTGCACATAAGTTTTATCAACAAAATTGTTTTTCTTTTTCTTTCTTCCATGTGCAATGTGTTTGTTTTGGCGTTATATGTTTTGTTTTGCAATCCTCCTAAATACTGGAACTTCCTTTAGTATATGAGTATTATATATATATATATATATGTATATATATATATATATATATTTCCTACCTAGCAGGTAATAGTTATTGTGGTTATTTTAAGGCGTTTAATTTCAAGAAATGGGCTTGACAATAATGGTTTTACATGAAAGAAAATTTCCAGTTAATATATTAACATTTGTCTTTTTAAAAGAAGTATAAAAGGTAAAATGTGTGCGATTTACATGGTTGAACACCATGTTGTGTTAAGTGCTGTTCTGAACTCAACCTGTACCTAGGCATATGTTCAGTGATGCAAATTAAATCTTAATTTAACTGACCAACTGCAGCTACCATGTCATTGGTGCATTTGAAAGGAAGTCTTTTGAGATAAAATTTGTATGTTACATAGTACACTTTTAAGACTATAACTCAATTAATCTTACCGTTACATAACCAGGACTACCTTCCAGTTTTAGAACATTAGATCTTATTTTCCCTTAAGAAAAAAAATGAAATAAAATTAATAGTGGGAATATGAACCCTCCTCAATGAGGGAAATCAAAATTAAATTTGCTATATATTTAGATTAAATAACTCCATGTGGAATAATATCTCAGAACTATGGTATGCCAGCATTGTTTTATAATTTTTTATTTTCCTCAAATTAGATCATAGTTTTATTTGAGTATTAATTCTATAATTCTAATTTATTTTATAGGAACATTGTATGAGTTATAGAAAAATGTTCGTTTTCAATTTTGTAGTCATGACCATGTGAAATGTCATGATTCTTGGAAGTTGTATTAAATGCTTTGATTATTACTATGACCTTTTTTCTGGATGTCAAAAGACAAATAGAGATATCCAAGTAATAATTATGGTTACACCTGATAAATATGTGATATGGAATTAATTATAGTAAATAGTAAAACATACAATTAATCAGTCCATATTTTAAAATATCTATCTATATAGTTTGTCATGTCTATGAAATGTCAAAAAAGTTTTTATGTTAAACCTAGTCAAGTCTATGTTGTGACCATATTTGTACACAGGGTAACCAAAGTATATGCCATGTGTCAGATATTATTTGGTTCTTCCTATAGGACTTCTCTATAGGATCTCAATAATAGAGATCTATTATGGGTTTCCTTCGTTGTGTGCTTGTAATGAACCTATCTTAGTTTACTTCTGTTTTCACATTCTCACATATAATCTTGCCTTGAAAGTTAAAACTCTAAATTCCCTTGAAAGTGTCTGAAAACAAATTTTGTTTTGTTTCATTCTAAGTTATCTGTAAAGAAAATCACTCTTTAATATTTGCCACGGACCTAACAGGAAACTGAGTTGTAGTGTTATGTGTGCATGCAACAATTTGTCTAACACAGCCTAAATCTTTTTTAAAAATATGTTTCAACTGTATGCTTTGTTATTTTCTATAAATATTTGCATTATAGCATTCATTAAACTGTTTTATAAAAGAGATTTCAGATTCAGTCAGTAGATAATTTTACATGGATGCTCATGTCGCTATGATGGATAGTCCCTATTGCTATTTTATCCTTTTTCATATTATATTTATTGATAAATCATTATTATAAAAAATTATAAGGAAAAATTTGGTATTTTGTACATATATACCACATGGTATGATTAAATTTAGCTGATTAATGTGTCTATTATTTCAACTACCTATAATTTTATAGGGAAACATTTAAATTATACCATTAGCTATTCCAAAGCAAACAGTGCTTCATTATCTTCTATAGTATCTTTGATGTATGTTAGAACTCAACACCTAATTTCCTGTCTAGGTTTTAATCATCAGCTTCTTATTCCCTTCACTCTCCCTACCTTTAGCGTGGTAACTATTATTCTGCTCTCTGTGTTCATACTTTCAGCACTGCTAGATTCCACATATATGATACAGGCTATGCCATTTGTCTTTTTTATACTATATTATGCTGCTTTAAGTACTTTCCTTCAAATTCATTCATGTTGTCACCCTCCTTAAGACTGAAAAATATTTCTTTGTGTATGTATAATATATTTTCCTTACCCATTCATCTCTTAATAGACACTGCAGTTATTTGCGTATTTTGTGACTGTGAATAATGCAACAAACACAAACTTGCAGATAACTCTAACATACTGTCTTCATTCCTTTTGGATAATTGTGCAGTGGTGAGATTGCTAGATCAAATGGTACTTCTACATTTGGTTTTCTGAGGATTTTCCATAGTGTTTTAAACAATAGCTTGTACTAATTTATATTCTTCTAACCATGTACATTTGTTCCATTTTCTCCATATGATGGCTTTTTATCTTCTGTGTTTGTAATAATATCCATATGACTAGATAATATTTCATTGTCCTTATGTTAATGACGATAGATAGATAGATAGATAGATAGATAGATAGATAGAAGATTATATATATTTTAAACCACTTCCTGTATCATTGTCTTCCAGGTTCCTCCCTGATTTTTTTTTGGTGTGGTCTATTTTAAGTTTATAGAAGAAACTATCCAGTCCACATTGCATATGCTTGGGACTTATGTGCAAAATTGAGACTATCCATAAATGAGTGGGTTTGCTTCTGACTTTTGTGTCCCCCTTCATTGGCTCATGTGTCTGTCTCCATGCCAGTATTATGCTGTTCTGATGACAAGCATCTCCTAAAGGAGTTTGGAAATCAGGGAATTTGATGCCTTAGGCTTTACTCTCTTAGTTCATGATACTTTTAGCTCTTTTGTGACTCCATGCAAATTTAATAATTTTATTTCATTTATGTGAAAAATAACCTTGGAATTTTGATACAATTGCATTGAATCTGTCCAAAAGTTTTGTGTGAAGATGTTAGCAAATAATATCTTACAACCCTTTAGCCTGGAATAGCTTTCCATTTTCGCAGGTTTTCTTCAGTTGGCAATTCATTTCTTGTATGTTTGATATTATTCAGTATAGAGTTCTTTTTCACTTCTGTAATTACATTGTTGTATAAAGATTTTATTGCTGTTGCTTTTATATTTAAGCTGTTGATTTAATTTCATTTTGAGTCTTTATAAATACATATATTTTATAAATATATAGAAACACTACTCACTTTTGGTATCATGCTGCTCTACTGAATTCCTTG